TTATTGAAATGGCAAGTAACTGGAAGGTTGGGTCGTTCTTATGGGCAGAGCAGAGGTGTTCAGCAAAGCATTCACACAGTCTATGTTTGGTCTCACCAATGTATTTATTTTGAGGAGAAAAAAATCATACATTCAGGAACCAGTCAGAAAACACTGAATTCAATATTTGCAGAGATTTCTTAGAAATTTGCAACCCAACACTGAGACCTTGAAAACTATCCACCTTAGCATTACAACCTGACCTGGAACCCACACCTATACAATCATGGGACAGATGTGGTCCTTTGGCCCATCGAATCTGTACTGCCCGAAATAGACTACCACCTACACTAGTCCCACTTTCCCACACTATGCCCATCGTCTTGTATGTTATGAAACTTCAAGTGCTCATCCAACTAATTTTTAAAAGTTATGAGGTTGCCTGTAGAGCATTCCAGACCCCCATCAATGTCTGGGAATAAAATTGTTTCCTCAAATTCCCTCTAAACCTCCTGTCTTTCACTTTAAAAGCATGCTTCCTTGTTCTTGACCCTTTGACTAATCCACCATGTCCATGTCCCTCATAATCTTATACATCTCTATTAGCAGTGTCCCCCCTCAATATTCTCTGTTCCAAAGAAAATAACCTGAACTTTTCCAGCCTCTCTTCATAGCTGAAATGCTCCATCCCAGGTAACATCCTGGTGAATCTCTTCTGCACCCCCTCCAGTACAATTCACAATTCATCCTGCCTAGAGTGTGGGGACCAGGGCTGCATACAGTACTCTACCTGTGGCCTAACCAAAGTTCTGTACAGCTCCAACATCACCTCCCTGCTCTTATAATCAATTGATAAAGGCAAATGTCTCGTATGCCTTCTTAACTAACCTGTTAACCTGTACTGCCACCAAGATCCCTCTGTTTCTCTCAGGTTCCTAGTTTCCTGCCATTCATCAAGTACTCCCTTGATGTTATTTCTTTCAAAGTGTATCACCTCATTTTGATTAGGGTTAATTCCGTCTGACCAATCTGTTTATATTATCCTGTAATCTAGACCTAACCCCTCACTGTGAGCCATCCAGCCAAACTTTCTGTCATCCACAGACTTACTTTATCAGCCCCTTCCCCCCGACTAATACTTTCATCTGCATCGTGTATGAATATCACAAATAATAGGGACCCTGCACTGATCCCTGTGGTATGCCCCTGGACACCAGCCTCTCGTCACACAAACAGCCTTCTACCATCACCTCTGTCTCCTACCACTAAGCCTATTTTGGATCCATCTTACCTGGCTCTCATGAGCATTTACCTTCTTTATCAGTTTCCCACGTGGGATCTTGTCAAAGACCTTGCTGAAATCCATATAACCTATATCAACTACTACTCTCATCTACACACATTGTTACCTCCTTAAAAAATTCAATCAAATTCATTCGGCATGACCTCCCCTTGACAAAGCCATGCTGACTGCCTGCTGTGCTGTTACCAGCTCAAACTGTATCTTGACGCTCCTTGCTTGCAGTCCCATGCATTCCCTTGCCCACTACAATTCACAGGTAACTAGAATTCATTAAACCACAACTCCCATAGTTCACCCTTGTCATCCCTAAACTTTAGGTTCTTCTTCCAGCATTCTGCTACAGCCCAGGCTCCTGCCACCACATGGTGCCATATTAAAAGATAAACCTGTTCCCAGCAACTGCACCACATTGTTGCTAAGCTCCAGCACAGCATCACTACTAAAGTCTTGCCAAGTTCAAGGACTGCTTCACAGTGCTGCTATGTCCAGTCATTCTCTTCAGCACCTTCTCCTTACAAAATATCTATCTTACCGCTCGTACATCTTGTACATCGCTATAATCTCAACTTTAAATAAAAGGCAAGGGATGAGTAATTAATTAGGTGAAATCATTTATTTTGAAAAGGCACACAAGTGCCCATAACTTATTGTTTACAGAACTATAGCATTATAAGTACCTTTAAAAAACCTTCAAACAAAAATTGGATTGTTCTCTCAAAGGGCAGTGAATCAGTGACCTTAATGATACAACTTTCATGATACAACACTCCTCTCATTATAGAACATTGTATCCTGCAACTTGTCCTGAGTAACAACACCAGTGAAGATCTCTTAGGCCATGTATTAGTTGTGTCTATCCCTCACATCTGTCACACTTCAAACATCATGGCTCAAATATCTCACTTAACACATCATACTTCAAGTGTCAAAGACATAAAAATAGAAACATACTCATTTCCTGCTGCCTGCTTTAGCACTGATGAGCTGCCTTCTCACCAAAGAATGGAGCATGGATTTAAAAACAGCTACAAACCTACCAAAACATTCGCAAAGCATTGGCCTCAGTTTTGTACAGCTTATCAACAGGCAATTCCTGCACACTGACCTTAAAGAGATGGATCACATTAATTGCAAATAAAAACAGGCAGATTGTTGAATCACATATTCAAACAATAATATATAATTCAGAGGAAAATCATGCTTAGACTATACAATGTTCCTAACAGGCCACACCTTGTATAATTTCTATCCCTGGTTACCCAAGCACTTCAGACATATCAGGAATGAATCACAGTCCGATGCCTAGTGTCAATGGATTGGGTATGAAGAATGCCAGGAGGAATTTAGGCTTTTCTGTTTAAAAAGTGGTACCTGAGGGATGACCTTAGAGAGATGTACAACACAGCAAAATAATGAGGAATTCAGGTTTAGAAGATTATATCAAAATAAGTTGTAAATTTGGTACAAAACTGTACAAGTTGGAAGGCAAAATTTGAAATGCTTTCAGGAAATCCTGTTTTATGCAAAAGTCATCAACCATGAAATGGGCTCCCAGACACAATAGTTGAAGTGAAACCCTAGCATTATTTAACAATTAGATGACACAGCACAAGGAATCTAGTCTCTTTCTGAATAGACAAACTAAAATCAGCAAACTTTTACTTCTTTATCTTGCAATTACAACTATGCTTCAGGCCTCAAGCAACATCATAGGAGGTTAGCTAGTAATACCAACAAACACAAGACAAAGTAACGAACAAAATCTCATGCTAAAAGGTTGCTACCAAGATTAATTCTCTCTTGCCTCATAATAAACCATGAAGTACACTCTCCCAATGCAAACAGCTGGGATCATTCACTTGTGTTTGAATTATTCAGGAATATCCTGGGGGATACTGCTGTCCTGAAATGGAACTGCACCAACCACAGTATCTATACGGATGTACATATACCTTTATAGGAGTACATCAGAGGCTGGGAATTCTGCAGTCAGTAAATCCTCTCCTGACTCCCCAAAGCCAGTCCACCATCTATAAGGCACAAGTCAGGAGCATGATGGAGTATTTCTCACTTGCCTAGTTAAGTGCAGCTCCAACAACACTCAGAAGCTCAACAACACCCAAGATAAAAGCAGCGCGCTTGATTTCCACCCTACCCTTTTCCACTCACTTCCTCAGCCACCGATGCACAGTGGCAGCAGGGTTACCATCTGCAAGATGTACTGCAAGAACTCACAAAGGCATCTATAATAACACCTTCCAAATCTGCTGCCACCACCACCCACAAAGCCAAGGCAGCAGGTACGTGGCGATATCATCACCTACAAGTTCCCCTCTATGCCACACACATCACCCTGACTTGGAACTACATCACCATTTCTTCACCGTTGCTGGGTCAACATCCTGGAACTCTCTTCCTAACAATGCTAGAGATGTACCTGTGCCACATGAACTGCAGGAGGTGAAGATGGGCCTTCACGTCAGTCTCTATGGTGCATAGGGGAAGTGTATCAGGTACTTACCAAACAGTTGGCAGTTTGAAACCACCCAGGGATGGAGCTCTCACTGTTTCCCCAACACCCAAACCCCCACCCCCCTCACCTTTGATGGTCTGCAATGCCCTTAATGGGCTTTGCTTGTAAATATTCAATAGGCTACAGAAGTGTTTTACTGGTGCTACTAGTATTAAAGAGGTCACAGTGATTTTAGTGGTGGGAAGATCGCTCAGTTGTGTGTAACAGTGTGTAATTCTGGGTAAGATTAAAAAAATTTTTGAAAAGTCATATTCAGAAAAGACTTTACATAAAAGAAAACCTTAAACATGGAAAATTATACCCAGCACATTAAAGTCCTCTGGGGGTGGGGGCTACAGGGGACAAATGCTCTTGGCAAAAGCTGGGCTCTGAAGTGAATCTCATCAGACCTCTCGATCAGTATTTTTAAATGATGAAAGATTTCACTCACTTCACACTATTTTAAGTAGCAACAATAGAAAGTGGAAACTGTCTCTTCAGTGCCACAGCCAGCAAAACAAAAAAAAAACATGTTGGGGATATAGCTGTACTTTGTAGCACACCTTAGTTTGGCTGGTGTGGACTGGTGGTAGTGCCCCTACCTTTGAGGCAGAAGGCCTGGGTTTAAGTCCCATACATTCTGGAGATGTGTCAGGTTATTTGAAAATACCTGAGTGTGAAGTCCAGGTGGTGTATTGTGAAAAATCAATTTTGGCGCTCTCGTGACACAGTAGTAGTGCCCCTACCTCTGAGCTAGGAGACCTGGGTTCAAGTCCCACCTGCTCCAGAGTTGTGTAATTGCATGGGTTGACTTAAAATATCTTAGCCGTCAGTCAAAGTGCCACCAAAGGAAGAGCAGGGATACAATTATGATGTACTCGCCCCTTTTATCTTTGGAAATAGAGATTTCTTCAGGTTCCTTTAATGAAGTGTCTCTGACACACACGCACGCACATATACTGCAAGCAATGGTCTCTGTATTAAAGAGGAACTGATGATGGAAACCATCACGTTATGAAATCGTCTTCAGTAAACCAGCCAAACATTGCACACCGCTGTGTCTCTGACAGGAAGTTTACCCCACTATAAACGATATTTACACTAATGATCACTGTGTTTCCAGTAAAAGTTATACGTTCTCTTGCACTTGAGCTTTCTGTATCGTTTCTGTGGATACCACACCGATATTGGCAGGGAGGGTCTTACCAGAGTGTGATCAGAAGCTCGGAATACGAAGCAGAGACTGTGCTGGGGCTCCGGGCCAGCCTGGCTCCTGGTTAGATAGGCGAAGTAGTTGGGTTCGCTGCTGTAGTGCAGCAGTTTGTAGATGTGCTGGGCTTGCTGCTGGAACACCGGGCTGCCCCCACTCGCTGGCACACACCGCAGCCAGCCCTGGCAGACCTGCAAGCGGACCCTCCGGCTCCCTGCACCCCGGGCACTCCGTCTCCGTACCTCCGCCACCACCCAGGGCAGCATGGGCATGGTGGTGAGCTGGTGAACCGGCAGCGAGCCCACCAGCTGCAGGCTGAAGCGCTGCCCTTTGCCCCCATGGCCGAAGCTGCTGCTGGTCAGCCGCCTGTCCGGCTCCATGCTCGGCCCCTGCCAGCAACTCGTTCTGCCTGTGGCTGCACAGTCACTGCACGCCGGATCCAACCCCGTCTGCAACTCACATCCGCCCACATCATTGCAGTGCACCTTTCAAATGTACCAAACCCCCAAAGTACAAAGCTGCTGAAGCTCCACCGCAATCTCTCCTTCAGAAATTGCAAATGCACTTGCTGTTTCCTTTGCATTCAGGCAAATGCCTGGCGTGATGTCTGTGGATTTACACTGCAACGGTCTGTCATGAAGTAGGTTGGACCAAGACTTTTAGTTATAGCGTTTTATTCCGAGTCAGAGCACGGTAAGGTGCAGCGCTGGGGGAATTTCCCCATTGCTTTAAGCTGCATGACAAATTCGTGCCCACTTCCGATCGATTAGGAGTGACTAAGAGTTGATCAAATTTATGAAAAATCTTGATGGGATCGACAACTGAAACATCTTTCTGCAGGGTATGGGAGGGATGAAGTGGCTGCACAAACATCGCAGGAAGAGGAAGGTTGAGAGTTTTGTCGACATTGGTTGGATCATGACAGAACCAACAATAAGGCATGCACCTTTAAGGTACTTGTAAAATAAACCAAGGTGCTTCACAGCAACATAACTAGTCAGAAATGGACGATGCTGGCATTAGGACAGGTGGCCAAAGAAGTCCATTGTTAGAAGGGTCTTAAAGGGGCAGGGATAGCCAAACAGATAAAAACTTTCAAGGGCCAGCACAAGAAGTGCTAGCTTCCGACTGTTTTATTGAAATTAGTCAGAGCAACCATCAGCTCTGTCCACATGATTAAACACAACATCCGTTCTTCTGCGTAAACATGGAATTAAACCCATTACTGCGCTCTGGACTTTGCAGATGTAACTGGTCATACATTATACACAGACCAAAACATACTGCCTTTCATTGAAACCTGAATCAGATGGGGTCATAATGGATTTTGATAGCATTCATTTTTCATCATCATAACCATAACCTTTGAACTTATTTTGATTCTGAATTTTACGGCGCAGTCAAGACGTTTGGTTTTATAAATGCTTTCCTGCAGTATTTTATGCTCTACATTTTACCTCCTATAACAACAAAATCTTTGTAGGGGAAGTGATGGTGTCATGAGATTTTCAATGAACTAGTAATCCAGAACCATAGGATAATGCTCTGGGAAAACAGGTTTAAGTCTCACCTTGACAGATGGTGAATTTAAATTCAAAAGAAGTCTGGAATTAAAAAGCTAGCCTTACCAGAGCGTAGGAGGTTAATGGTGAAATTAGAGGTTTATAAAATCATGAAGTGAATAGATAAGGTGAATGGCAGGTGTATTTTCCCCAGAGTGGGAGATTTCAAGACGAGGGAGCATCTTTTTAAAGTGAAAGGAGAAAGATTTTAAAAAATACATGGGCAACTTTTTTACACAGTGATTCATGTGTAGAATGAACTTCCAGAGAAAGTAGTGGATATGGGAGGAATTACAATGCCTTTTAAACATTGGGATAAGTACATGAATAAGAAATGTTTGAGGGGATATGGGCCAAGCACAAGCAGGTGGGACTAGTTTAGTTTGGGATTATAGTTGGCGTGGTCTGGTTGAAGCAAAGGATCTGTTTCCGCGCTGTATGACTCTATTAACCAAAACAAATAGGTTTTTAAAACAATCGAATTCACGGAGAAGGGAATCTGCTATGCTTACCTGGTCAAATCTCGATTGGACTCTAGAACCACAGTAATATAGTTAACTCTTAACTGCCCTCTGACATAGTCTCATAAGCTATTCGAGGACAATGAGGGATCGTCAACAAATGTTGACCTTGGCAACAATGCCCACAACCCATGAATGGATTTTTAAAAAAATTGACATCAGAATTTGTGACAGGGTGGATAAATATTAGATCCTTCAGAGATATCACAAATTAAACAGCATGTAATTCAGACTTAAAAAAAAGCTGGCTATAGATGGGTGCACTAGGAGAACCAAGGTAGGATGACAGGTAATGTCAAAATGTGGCAGATTATTTACAAAAGTACAGGGCATGAACCAAAGTGAACTTGTGATGATTGTCTTTTGTGACAATCACAATTTAGAGGAAAGTCATGTTCGATTCCAGCCCCATCTTACCACACGCCATTACCAGAACAATTCATCACACAGTGGGTACCCCGGACCTCACCAGCAACCCTTGCGGCCACACGATCTGTCAAAGCTCGTAGTGCACCCAGAGAAGCTGCCCAGCTCCTGGCATTTGGCTTGGACATGGCAGACCAGGGGATATCGATGCCCCGCCTTGCAGCAGGGACCTGGAGTTTAGGATAGACCTGCTGGATCGGGCGGTGCAGAGGTGTGACTTCCTATTCTTCCAGGACTAAGAATGGAGGCTGCAATGCCAGAATATGCCACTCTGGTCCAAGGTTTTGATCTATACGTCCTCAGCTTGCCGTGATCTGCCTGTACTGCTCAAAAACCAAGTTTTTCACTGTATTTCGGTACACGTGACAATAAAATCAAAATCATAGTAAGCAAATCAAAGGCTAAAACTGTTTCAGTCATCTGGAAGAATGTACAATGCACTGTCATAAGAAGAACTGCTATCAGAGGCTGCTCTTGGCTTACTGTGCCAGGACCCTTTGAGCAAAAGCTTGACTGAGGCCACCTGACACCAATGATAAGCTTCCTCCATTTGTGTCTGCGCTAAACAGCAAGGCAAGATAGAAACAATAAAGCTCATACCTCTAGTGGTGGATGCAAAATACAGAATGACATAACAAAGCAATGCAAGGTAAAGATGCTGTAAGCATCCAAATAGGCTCAGAGTAACTGAGCACCATGACATTACTTTGCTTCAAACTTCACAGTGGAAGACACGAGTAATATCTCAAAAAATTCGAGAGAGTCAGTGGGCAGAGCGGAGTATGGTGGCCATCACCAAGGAAAAGGTGCTAGAAAAACTGAATGGCCTGAAGGTGAATACATAACCAGGACCAGATGGACTACACCCCAGAATTCTTAAGGAGATAACTGAAGAGATAATGGAGACGTTAGTGGTGATCTTTCAAGAATCACTAGAGTCAGGGAAGGTCCCAGAGGACTGGAAAATTGCTGACTTGACACCCCTGTTTAAAAAGGGAGTAAGGCAAAAGACTGAAAATTACAGGCTGATCAGCCTAACCTTGGTTGTGCGTAAGATTTTAGAGTCCATTGTGAAAGATGAGATTTCTGAATACTTGGAAGTGCACGATAAAATAGGGCAAAGTCAGCGTGGCTTCAGCAAGGGGAGGTCATGCCTGACAAATCTGTTAGAATTCTTTGAGGAAGTAATGAGCAGGTTAGACCAAGGAGAGCCAATGGATGTTATCTACCTGGAGTTCAAGAAGGCCTTTGACAAGGTGCCACACAGGAGGCTGCTGAGTAAGGTAAGAGCCCATGGTGTTAGAGGCAAGGTACTAGCATGGATAGAAGATTGGCTGTCTGGCAGAAAGTGGAGAGTGGGGAAAAAAGGGTCTTTCTCAGGATGGCAGCCGGTGACAAGTGATGTTCCACAAGGGTCAGTGTTGGCACCACAACTTTTCACTTTATACATTAATGTTCTAAATGAAGAAACTGACGCTGCAGAAGGATTTGGACAGGTTAGGAGAGTGGGCAAAGAAGTGGCAGATGGAGTACAACGTCGGAAAGTGTGAGGTCATGCACTTTGGAAGCAGAATAAAAGCATGGACTATTTTCTAAATTGGGAGAAAATTTAGAAGTCTGAAGCTCAAAGAGACTTGAGAGTTCTAGTCCAGGATTCTTCCAAGGTAGACTTGCAGGTTGAGTCAGTAATTAGGAAGGCAAATGCAACTTTGGCATTTATTTTGAGAGGACTTGAATATAAAAGCAGAGATGAAGCCATATAAGGATCTGGTCAAGCCACATTTAGGAGTATTGTGCACAGTTTTGGACCCCATATCTCAGGATGTACTGGCCCTGGAGCAGGTTCAGAGGAGGTTCACAAGAATGGTCCCAGGAATGAAAAGCTTAACATATAAGGAACATTTGAAGAATCTGGGTCTATACTCGATGGAGTTTAGAAGGATGAGAGGGGATATAATTGAAACTTATAGAATACTGAATGGCCTGGACACAGTGGATGTTGGGAAGACGTTTCCATTGGTAGGAGAGACTAGAACCTGAGGGCACATCCTTAGAGAAAAGGGAAGACCTTTTAGAATGCAGATAAGGAGAAACTTCTTCAGCCAGACAGTGGTGAATCTATGGAATTCACTGCCTCAGAAGACTGTGGAGGCCAGGTCATTGAGTATATTTAAGACAGAGATAGATAGGTTCTTGATTTTTAAGGGGATCAAGGGTTACAGGGAGAAAGCGGGAGAATGGGGTTGAGAAACCTATGTGCCATGATTGAATAGTGGAGCAGAATTGATTGGCTTAATGGCCTAATTTCAGCTCCTATGTCTTATGGTCTTATATTGAGTGAAAAGGCTGGAGATGCAGCCTGGTCCAGTCCATGAGCAGGGTGCATATCTCTAAGCACAGTGTCCTTGCTGCAGCATTACAATGGTAGTTGCCAATGCAATGAGGTGCACTTAGAGGTGGGCACTTCAGATGCCAATGTCTGTGAACAAGTGCTGTGTGGCTGGTGGCCATGGAGTGTGCCCTGAGATGTTGGTGCCTGGTCTCCAAGATGGAAGTCTTTTGGAGCAAGCGAGGAGCTGAATTCACCAGTTAGCCAGCCTGGTTTCCAGGTTGAGTTTGCTTGATGTCAACTTTATTTGGCAAGTTTGCTAAGATAAGAAGCTGAATATTAATGAAGCAACTTGGGCCATTAACAAGGCATTTTACAAGCACTAATCGCTTTAAATTGGCAACTTGCCACTGCATCATGAAGAAATGATCACACTTCTTGCATACAGTATGAAACATTGAACAAGATGTTGCTGACATCACGCTGGACTTTGCTGATCCTCTTGACCAACTATGCCACAAATCTCACAATAGCCCACACTGTTCAGACTCCTACATTATTCTGCTCATTGAGACCAGTTTCGGAGCAGTTGCAACCTGTACAGGCTGGATGATTTACACCTGAACAGAGCCATGACCCATGGACAGTTTGTTGGTGCTCTTAAACAGGGTTTGAACAATTCTGGGCGTGGGATGGAACCAAATTATAGCAACACAAAAGTAAACCTAAGGTACTGGAAAGATTATGAGTGACAGCAAGAAGATAAGAAATAAGAGGTAAGATGATGAGGTCAGACTCACAGATAGTACAAGAATAAATTAGTTTTGTGGTAAATACATGATGCATGGTAAATGTAGTTGATGAGCTGGAGGCTCAAATAACTACTGGCTCAAAAAGTGGCAGGACTGAATATTAAATATTCTTGGATAGATGTTTTCAAGATAGGAAGGAAAGAGAAGGGATGGCAACATTGTTCAAAGAAAGCTTTAATATGCTGGAGAGAGAGGATGTCCACGAGTGACCAAGGGCAGAATCTGTGTATTAAGAGTGAAGAATCAATGGAGTTGTCATTTTGCCAATGGTTGTAGAAGAGGAGGCACTGGCTCGTGGGACAGACAGCGTGGAGCAAACTTCCAGTGTTAGAAGAGGTAGTGATAATACTTCAATTATTCTAATATAAACTCGGATTGTAATTGTGAAAGGGCAGAAAGGAGGGAGACTTTCTGAAAGGTATTTTATAAACGTAATTCAAATTAGGAGCAGGAGTAGAGGAATCTGTCAACCTCTGTTGTAAAATATTCATGGACACTTTTCTCCACTACTTGTCAAGGGAAGAGATCTCCAAAGACTCATGTCCCTCAGAGAAAATATTCTTTTCATCTCTGACCCATTATTAAACAGAATAGTTTTCTTCATCAGTAGAATTCTGGTCTAACAAGGAAGGAGATGTAACTGACTCAAGAGATAGCAAGAACTGCAGCTGCTGGAGTCAGAAACAACAGAGTTTGGAGCTAGAACACAGCAGGCCAGAGGAGCAGGAAAGTTAATGTTTCGGGTCAGGCATAGGGAGGGGGAAGGGACCTCAGAAAGAGGAGGGTTGGGGCTCGGGAAGGTAAGTGGGATGGTGTTCAATGAGTGCAGGTAGGGAGTGGTGGGGATTGGTCAGGGGGATGGGAGGGGCAGATGGGTGGGAGAAAAGATGGACAGGTTGTGTCAGGTCAAGGAGGCGGGGATGAGGGGGAGCTGAGGCCGGGGCTGGGGAGATTTTAAAACTGATGAATTCTATGTTTAGGCCATCGGGCTATAGGCTCACGAGGAGAAATATGAGGTGCTGCTCCTCCATTTGCGGATGGTGACATTGTCATTGTGACACTGGAAGAGGCCCAGAATGGGCATATCACCCAGGCAGTGGGAGGGGGAGGTAAAATGGCTGACAACCAGAAAGTGTTGTCATTTGTTGCATACAGAGTGCAGATGCTCTACAGAATGGTCTACGCTTGGTCTCACCGATGTAGAGAAGACCACATCGGGAGCAGCGGATACAACAGACCAAGTTGATGGATGTGCAGGTGAACCCCTATCTAATGTGGAGATCTAATCTCCATCCTCTCTCTCCCGCTATCTAATATCACAATATAGATTGTGCTGGAGAGAGTGCAGAGGAGATTTACTACAATGATCAATGACCACAAGGCATAGATTTAAGGAAGGGCCAGAAGGTTTAGAGGGGATGTGAGCAAATTATTTTTCACTTAAAAGGTGGTAGTGACAGAAATTCTCATAACATTTAAGAAGAATTTAGATATGCACTTGCAAACGCCAAGGGATGCAGGGCTATCTGCCAAGTGTGATGGAAAATGGAATTAGATCAGTTAGGTGGTTGTGTGAGACCAGCCAAGACTCGATGGGCCAAAGGGCCTTTTTCTGTGTTGTAGACATCCACGATTCTATGACCATTATCAACTTGAAAAGGTAAACAGACTTACAACGAAAGGGAAGTTTAAGTTTTATGATATGCTTTGTAGCATACCTTTCACGTAGGTAGTAGCACTGGAATTTGTAACATCCAGACTTCATTGCAGGGCTGCTTATATTAGTCACAGATCATGTGACTAAGAGGTAAGGTGAACTATTTGTTAGCTGGTCGATGCAAGTCTTTGGAAATGATGTGCTGTAGATTAACATCTGAGCCTGCATCCAAATAATTTTTGAAACCATTGCACTGAACAAATAATTTATAATCTATAATAAAAGTGGCAGTGGAAAATCATCCAGATGTTTCCATTTCCGTCATAAAACAATATTTGTACATTTCAGTTTTAGCTTTTAATCAATACCGATATACAAATAAGCCAATATTAGTTTAATTGATTGCAGGAGTTGTAATTTAGATGTATGATTACAACTTCTCATTTTGCACACATCATAGAATAAAGACAGTATTCCTGTAATGAATCAGCATGTTTAATTTTATGATAAAACAAAAAATTCAACTCAATATACTGAACGCATTATTTCCACAGTGTAAATAAATTTACTTTAACAATGGTCAAACATTATAGATTTTTAAGATAACAGGAAAACCAGTGTTATCACAAAGGAGTGTCACACTTGCTCTTCAGGAAATGCTTAATTATAATGATCAATGCAGGGAGGTGTAATGGCACAGTGCTGCCACCCCTACCTCTCCAGGTTGAACCATGGAAGGACTTGATGGTAAGCAGTAAGATCAAGACGGTTTCCTGGTCAGCCAGACCATGTGAACATGCAAATTTTTGCCACAAGCAAGTATCATTGCTGCATCATAAATCCAGCCTTAAATGGATTAAAGTAATTTAAATCTCTTCTGAAAACATGTTAATTGTATTCTGTTTACTCATGTGGGGCACACATTGACTAACGGATTACAGGCACATTTCCAGGTTTAATATTCACAAGAAAATTAGATACCTAGCTCACAATAATTTTTGTATCTATTAATGTTCAGGTAGTTTTGTAGAATTCCCACAATGCTCACATTTCTGAATGGAATGCATTTCTATTCACAGGTATTTCTCCTATAACGTGACAGTTACATGCTTTTGCGATCCCGTGCTATGGAAAATTGCATTATAGGCAAATCACTACATTGTACAGTAGAAAGCTTGCATTATTCAAACAGTGTGCACTATTAATCAATTGCGTTACAGCCAATTCACGTTAATAAAACACTATTAATCAATTGCGTTACAGCCAATTCACGTTAATAAAACACACATTATAGCAGAAATACCTGTAGTTGTATTATTGTGAAATTCAACGGCAACATCTTATCATGACTTCTTACAATTGTGACAAAATTTTGGTCACTAATTCTGTGACAATTTTATTAAACCACCTGTTTTGGTTGCATGAGTTACTAATCCAAAAAGATTTTTTTCAAATAATTAAACAAGCTACAGTTTGAATAAAAAGCAACATTGATTTGCAGTGGAATGTAAACTAAAATCATGGGATATCTTGAACTTAGGCATGTGATAGTGATTTTATGTGCAAAATCATCTTTTTAATTGAATTAAAAGGAATACAGCAGAATATATGTCTCCTCCATGCAAAATTAAAGCAGTAACTCAGAACTGAAAGCACACAATTTTCAAAAAGAAAGCTTTTAACACAGACGTGTGAAATTCAGCTATGAAGTTATCCAGGAATTACCAAAGGTAAAATGTATGTAGAAGTAAAGTCCTTGGACCCGACAGTTAAAAGCTGGAACTTCACATATTCCAAAGGTTATGCAACAGAGTCCTTGCATATAATATTTTAATCTACCAAATAAAGCTGCAGTCACACATCTTACAAAGAAGCCCTCCTGTAGCAAGTTAATAAGCATTGTTAAAGGCAAAGTTCTCTCTGTTCAAAAAAATCTAAAGCCCAACTGGAAGGGATTTAGCAACATATTTCTTATTCATCAAAAGACAATTATCTCCCTAACCAAAGGAAAACCAGTATTGTGTCCCTCCTTTTTTAGGTCCTGCAGTGCTATCAATTACAAACAGGACCATGAGAGAGCGATCCCCATCCCCCAAAAATACTACAAATATTTTACAAGATGAGTTATTTTCTCAGTAAGACTTTAGCAACATAGCATATTCCTCTCAAGTTAAAACATGTGCTTCAGAATTATGGACACAATTAGAAATAGTTAATAGTGCGCTGCCAAAACTGACTGTCGGAAATGGCAGAATTCATTTCAGGCGGGTTGAGATGTTAGGCCATTTTTATCTGGCTGGAAGAAATACTCCACCAGTGCATTCACCAAGTCATTGAGCTCCTCCTTCAGCTTCTCGAAATCACTGGGAAAAGAGGTGACAATGCGTACAAGTGCTTTAGAGAAACTAAACAATCTTGGAACAGTAACAACATATTTTACATACATTTAATTACTCAGTTCAAAATTAATGAATGTTATTTATGCTTGAATAAGAATGTGTTTTATTAATCATCATATTTAATTGCTTAACGCAAAATTACCAACTGAATTGTAAACATACTACAGGCAATATATACTTCTCCATTCCTCACATGGCTGCATTGTATAATTTTTCTCCCCTTCCTATTTCAGGTTATTCAACTTTTGAATCTTAAGCTACAATCAAGTGAACCTTCTGACTAAAGAATATGTTCAGTTCAGTTTTGACAGCCATCACAACTTAACAAAACACGTCTCTCTAGATTTCTGTTGTTTCTTCTAAAATCATGGCACTGTGACCAGTTTACTCACCAATTTTGCTATTTCCTTTATCTACACAGGCAACAAATACCTCACATTTGTTGGATAAAGGTAAGGGCTGAGGCTCCTCCAGCAATGTACCTGGGGTTCCTTAGCCTGCCTGACTCTCAGTCACTTACTCTGGTCCATGACCACCAATTAAGTCTTAAAATAAATGTTACTTAACTGTTATAGAAATTTTATTTCCTCCTTCTAAACTTTAAGCACCCACTTGAAGGGAGCATTTTTTCTTAAATGTTTCAATGCAACTACTATAACTCAGAAATGACAGCCTATCTTGTTTTGGTGGATTGCAGGTTTACTGTCTGAATCTGGAATGCTGCTGCCCAGTCACCGTGACTGCACTGGAATTTTGAATCTACCAATTCAACTACAATTTCAGATAAATGGACCACTGCCCAAAAAGACTAGCAAAGCAAAGACAGCCCTTTATAATGAGGTGCTGCATTAATTAGGCCAAACCCACACTAAAACTTAGGAATCCATATTTACTGTCAGATGAGCACCTGCAAGTCTTCCATCAGGAAGACAAAAATGTGAAGCCACCAATTTTAACTGGTAGGTTCTGCCAATGAAACAGTCCCTCTCTACACGTACACACTACTGTTCTCTCTAACGTTTTACTCAACTTCCTGGCATGGTTACAGAGCATTGAGATGAAAGTGCCTTCTTGTAGTAGGATATTGAAGGAGATCATGCCAGCTTGAATCCATTCTCATGCTTTCTCCCCAGAGCCTTGTATTTGTTTTTACACCACCATTTAAGTACAATTCAGATCATAACTGTTAAAAGAAAAATGTTTATCATACTGTCCTTTGTTTTTTTGATGATTAGCTGAAGTCTGTTTTCTGCTAAATTACATTCCTGTCAATGGAAGCATTTTTTGTAAGCTGTCAAATCCTTCATGATTTTGAACATCTCTATCAAAACTCCTGGCATTTCATAAATGTTTAGCATAACTGCTCTACATTATTTCTTTATTTATAGAAGCAGAGTGCAAATACTTTTTAAAATCTCCTAAACACAGTATCACTTTGCTCTTCCCTCAGTTAAGTTTCATTGGTCAGGTGTCTACGTGTCACGAGTCTGCCTTTGTTGCCCGTACTTCGGGAATCTAATCAATAACTTTAAAAGAAAATTGGGTGCAAAGAGGAAGTAAACTTGCAATGCCACAGGGATCGAGCAGGGAAATTGGAATGGACTGGCTTGGATTGCTTCCTGGAGGGATCCAGCATGGACTTCACATCTGCGAATGAACTCCTTCTGGATTATGACCTTTAGTGTGTTATTATCCTCTTTACTTTTGTCATTTAAAATTATGGTCAGTATACCCAAGTAGATCAGTAAACCCATATAACAATCAGCAATGTTTCTAATACCATGGCTGGTGAGACAGTACTCTATACCTCCCCCAAGTTTGCAAACCGATTGTTCACTTCTGCTCGCAAAAAAACAAGAACTGCAGATGATGGAAATCAAACAAAAATAGCAATTGCTGGAGAAATTGGCAGGTCTAGCAACATCCGTGGAGAGAAACAGTTAATGTTTCGGGTCCAGCGACCCTTCTTCAGCCTTGAGTTTCTCCAGCAATTTCTGTTTTTGTCTTCACTACCATTCTCTTCTTTCTGTTCCTTGCCAATGTTTTTTTTTTTAAAATCCACATTGCTTACTTTAATATCACACATTTTATTTCTGTTGTCAAGTTTATTGTGTAGTACTTTATCAAACATCTTTTTGAAAGTCCATATTTGCAAAATACAAACTTGAGTCCTCACTTCAAAGAACTAAATTAAGTACATCCAACATGATTTAATGTTAGCTACTAAGCTGTTTTGGGGCACTCTCTTTATAGCTCATTTGCTGTGCCAGGCTTCCACTGTACTTTCAGTATTCAGCTTGGACCTTTAAGGTATACTTGACCCTTTTACATTTAGGACTGAGAGGAGGATAAACTCCTTCATTCAGAATTCTGTACCATATACAGTTCTGAAGATCAACTCAGACACCAAGGGGTAAAGAGGAGAGCAGGAGTATGGTGTTAGAATAGAGGATCTGCCATGTTCAGACTAAACTGTGGAATTGGCTTGATCAGCTGAATGGCCTACACTTGCTACTATTTTCTATGTTTTGCACATTTGTTAAAAGCATCATCTTACTGTTTCACTTTGGTCTTTATGTCTTTAGCCATCCAGGGACCTCTAAGTGTTGATTACCTTACTTTTTTTCCCCTTCTTACATCCACTCTGTACTCAGACTTACCCAACTGTGAAGGCTCCCCATTGTTCAACTACTGTGTTCCCTATTTTGATGTTGATTCCAATTAACATGTACTAAATTCCTTTGCCAACTCCTTGAAATTAGCCCTGATGTACTTAAGTTAGGAGTTGTCTGGTTAGCATGCAAAACAATACTTTTCACTGTATCTTGGCACATGTGACAACAATAAATCAAATTCTCGTCTGCAGTATTTTACATTTCATTGTTTTTGTCTTCCATAACTGTACTAAATCTAATATGATTACTGTTCCCCAAATGCTCCCCACTGATACATTTTTAATTTGCCTCACTTCATTTTCCAGAGCCAGATCCAGTACAGCTTCTTTGTTACTCATGAAGCCTACTGATCAAGAATGTTTCCTTGTACACATTACAGATTGCCCTTCATACTATTACTAATCCAGTCTTTATTATGCTAATTCAAGACCTCATTCTCATACCCCATAGTCTTTCTCTAATTTGTTTGACTTGCTCCTTCCCAATATTTGATGGCAAGATTATATACAGAGTTAGAACTGCTCCATAATTCTAACCAAAAATATTTGCTGACACCAGAATGGCATCACAAGAGGTCCTATGATCTATGATGCCCCCTGCATCACAGTCAGCCTCAGCCTCTTGTCCTTGCTTCTTTATCTTTCCTGAAAACTTTGTCACCAGGAATATTAAATTCCCAATCCTCCTTTCCTTTGACCAAATTATTGCCACTCGCTGCCCACATATCCCATGCCTGCATCATACGAGGTGCTCTAAAATCTTTAGCACACCACATGCGTTCATATCAACCTACCTTAGATTGCCACACAATTTCCCCATCTGACCTCCATTTCTCAACTATTCTTCCTAAAGACTATCCTTCCTTATTGGTGTCTCAGCATTCTACATACACTATTGTAATCCTGCCATATAGGACTGGTTAACTTCCCACCAGAATATTACCGCCAGATGCATTTAGGTGCAACATTCCATCCTGAACAGGAGCCTTTTCCCAAGAATTCAAAGTTCTCTATCTTGCACCATTTCTCCAGCAACGTGTTAAATTGGTTTTACCCAATTCTTACCAGCAATAAATCCAGACATGACCATCTTTGAGGTCCTATTTTAATTTTCTCCCTTTTAAAATGCTAAGAACAGGACCTCCACACTTCAATTCCACCAATTTCCACATTGTTAGTGCTCCAAATTCCACCCCCTTCAAATCTTCTGTACTGTCTCAGTAATGTCCTTTATTTATTCTAGCACCATGGAGGCAATAAATAAGTTAGTAGTTTGAAAAACACTTATCTATCCCATTAATGACCGAATCCCTGATTACTTTCGACTCTTTGGCTGCATTTGTCCTCATGCAGCCATTTACTCCGTACATTTGACACAAATAGAAACAAAGAGCTGGCATCGATGAAAAGCTGACGATAAACTGCTTGGGACAGTTCAGGGAGACACTTCCCATCTTTTGCAAAGCGCTGACCTTATCTAGTAAAATGGAGAAGTGAGAAATTCAGATCTTCAAATTGAAATTACTTCCCTTTCATATTTTCCATAATGTTATTTTAAATGTTGTGATATTGCCTGGGTGGAAACAGTATCCCAACTGCCTGGGATTTTGAGAACTCAACATGGTAGGGAAAATTAAAGCAGCCTCAGTGTGAAAGGCTGTTTCTGGTTGATTGAGCGACCTGAAACTACACTAAAATAATTTGGAAGCAGCACAAACTTCAGTTCTGAAATTAATTTCCAGCCCTTTTATGATTTGACTTTTGTGTGTTTGTTGTGATCAGAGGAAAAGAAAAAGTTTCAGCCACATGTCTTTTTTCAGAAATGGTTCTGCCTCCATCTTTTTTTTTTTAAAATAGCACTGGAGCCACCCAAATGGGTACAACATAAAGGTTTTAGCTGAATGTCAGTTTGCCAGATTTTCAAAAAACAGGAAACAGGAACAAGACTAATTCAGACAGACAGTACAGCAAAACTGTGCAATTTACATTTTAAGGCTCCTCACATAGTGGGAAACTTTCCAACAACCCCTGGTTGTAGTTATACTAATGGTGCTAGTCAATAAAAACTTGCAACCAGCACGCACAGGAGAAAAAAATTACAATCCATGAGCAAAAGCTTAGATATGGTTAGAGTTTGCAAAAGTTACCAAATTATTATAGAATGACTTAAATATTTAACTTCTCTGAAATGAATGCTAAGCATCTTTTAGTTAAACAAGAACATCAAAAAAAAACCTCATCACAACCACGAGGTCTTTGTAAATTCTTTGATATTTACAAATTTAACATACTTAAAGTCTCAGGAGATTAATTATACTTCATCCAAATTTTAAAAGTTAATCATTTAAAAAAAGACATACTTTCCTAAAAACCTGCAAGGTTAAAAGGTAGATATATGAGGACTTGTGTACAAAAAAATTGAAAATGTCAGAAATGGATATGAAGTGGTGGAGTTTGACAGATTTCCTGCATATTTCAAGCTATTGGTATGTGGTTTTCTCTCTCCAGATATTCCAGCGTATGAACTCTTTCTCAATTCATTAAGTACCACGTACAATTTGAAATCAAAGCAAAAATATTTTTTTTCCTTTATTCATTAACGGGTTGAGGACGTTGCTGGCTAGGCAGCATTTATTTTCCATCCCTAATTGCCCAAAGGGCAGTTCAGAGTCAACCACATTGCTGTGGGTCTGGAGTCACATGTAGGCCAGACCAGGTAAGGACAGTGGTTTCCTTCCCTAAAGGACATTAATGAATCAGTGGGCTTTTCCGACAAATCGACAATGGATTCATGGTCATTATTTGATTAATTCCAGATATTTTATTGAATTCAAATTCCACCATCTGCCGTGGCAGGATTTGAACCCAGGTCCCCAGAATGTTATCAGGGTCTCTGGATTAACAGTCCTGCGATAATACCACTAGGCCATTGCCTCCCCTATTGCTATTTTTGAAAAGATAAACTGTTACCTATTTCCAGGTGGTGCACGTAACTCTGCATAATATTTAATTTTCGGCTCTGTCCCACTAGTTCTCATTGTGGCTACACATCCATTCTTGAATGCGAAGGTGATCATCTGGCTGCTTTTACTGGTAGGAAGCACCTAAAATACAGCGACTCAAACAGTTAGTAAAAAGTCTTTTGATTATTATTCTTTAGGATAAAATCAAAAATGCAGGTTATGAATAACATTATTTTACACGTTTAAATCGCAGTGTAGGTTTGCAATATAGGCTCTTTGTGCCAAATGGGCTATTTTAACTCCTGTAATTTTTACCATTTTTTCATACTATTGCTTCACTGGAATTTTATTTCTGCAGTATATTTATAAAAATATTTTCTCCAAACTACTGACAGTGTCTTAGGGAATTTAAAACAGAGTTGCCCAGGAAGGTATCAATATTTAGACAAGTTTTCAAACCTCGTCTACGTAACATCATTTAATTAAATGTAGACATTTCTACTATTTAGGTCACCCTTACAAGTTGTTTAAAAAGGATCAGAACAATCTTAAAATAATCGGTTGTTTAGCTGATTAAAAGTTACCATTAGAGCACATTTCTCGATAACTGAAAGAACCACAAACTATAAGCACATGAAATTTGGCACTGCTGTAACTTTGTTTTAAAAAGTATCATCAGTTCCCTCTTCTGTTGAATTCATAGAACGTCACTTACAGCCTTTTTGTCCGATTGACTGCTATCGTAACCGGTGGTTAAATCTCGGATGTCAGATATTTCAAATGAACCACAGATTTTGGGGTATTGATTTGTTTCATTATAATTTCGCAAATTCTGGAATAATTGATTGATTATCTCAGGTTTATGGCAGATAAAGTATGAAGCCTCAGAAAGATGATAACCATATCTAAATTAGGAAAGAGAAAGCAAGATAATTAAATGTTATACAACTAACTTTTATTCCACACAGACCAGCAAAAAATTACATACACTGATGTGTTTCAGGTTTTTGTGGATGTCCCTAGCACATGCACAAAATAGACAACACTTGTGCCCGGGACAAAAACAGAAGTTGTTGGAAAAACTCAGCAGGTCTGGCAGCATTTGTAATGAAAAAAAAAAAAAATCAGAGTTTACATTTTGGGTCCGGTGACCCTTCCTCGGAACACTCTTCACAGATGCTGCCAGACCTGCTAAGTTTTTCCAGCAACTTCTGCTTTTGTTCCTGATTTACAGGATCCGCAGTTCTTTCAGTTTTCACCAGACTTGATCCTAGGATGGCAGAACTCTCCTACAGAGAGAGAGATTTAGGAAACTGAGCCTGTATTCTCTGGAGTTTGAAGACCGAGATGTGACGAGATGTACATTACTCGTTACATCTGGTCAACCAGGAGAAAATGTTCCTTCTCGCCTGCTCTGTTTCCCATTAGCCAGCCAGTCTTCTATTCATGTCAAATTTGTTATCTCCAGCATCATTAGCTTTTAATTTCTGCAAAAACCTTTGATCTGGCATCTTATCACATGCCTTCTGAAAATCTAGCAGTCCATTTACTCGCTCCCCTTCATCCACCGCACGTTACTTCCTCAAACAGCTCCAGTTAATTGGTTAAATATTATTTCTTTCCACAAAACTACGTTGGCTCTACCTTATTAATCTTGAACTTTTCTGAGTGCTCTGCTATCATGCCTTTAATAACAGCCAAGATTTCCCTATAAACAGACAGTAAAGTGAACTGCTCTAATTTCCTGCTTTCTGCTCCCTATCTCTTTGAATGAAGAGGTTATGTTTGTCATTTTCCAATTTAATGGAAGTCTCCTCACATCGAAAGAATTTAGAAAAATTAAACCAATTCATCAATTATCTGACTAATTATTTCTTTTGAAATCCTTAGATGAAGATGTTAAAACAACAAGAAAAGGATGCTACACAAACATTCCCATCTTTAATGATTGAGCAACTCAGCATATTGGTGCAAAAAACAGCACAGCCATCTTCAGCCTGAAGTGCTGAGCAAACAGTGTGGCTTGGTCTCTTCTGGAGGTTCCTGGCATTGCAGAAACCAGTCCTCAGCCAATTTGATTTTCTCTACGTAGTATAAAAATAGGCTGGATGCATTGAGCCTTAACAAGGTCTTGCTGCAATACTAAAGACATGAGCTTCAGACTAAGCTGTTCCAGTAAGATACAATACTGGCATCTATCCAACATTGAAAATTACCCAGGTATGTTCTTTCTACAAAAAGCAGAATAAATTCAAAGCTGCCAATTACTGCCACATACATATCAGTTTACATCTCTACCAACTCAGTGACAAACGGTGACGTTGACTCTATAATCAAGTTGCACTTACTCAGCAATACCTGCTCACGAATACTCAGTTTAGGACCACTTAACTCCTGATTCCATCATGGTTCAGACATGGACAAAAGAGCTGAACTCGAGGGGTGAAGTAGCAGTGACAGTTCTTGATACCAAGGCTGCATTTGACTGAGTATGGCATCAGGAAGCCCTAGCAAAACTAGAGTCAATGGGAATCAGTGGGAAATCTCTCCACTGGTTGGAAGTGATAATGGTTGTTTGAAATTGAGCATCTCCATCTCAGGAACCTTCTCCTAGTCATGAAGGCAGTAGTCAAGTTTGCAAACTGATCTTGAAGTAAGATGAAATGAAACTGTTTTAGAGACAATATCTTGTTTCTACTTACTCTTCATAAATTGCTTTGAGCTGCTGGGTTAGAGTGGTATTCTTGGTTGCCAAATAGCTAGCCATTTCTGCAACAATAGCTGCAGCACTAACACCATCTTTATCCAGGACAAACTCAGTTGACATATATCCTACATTTTGCACACAAAAAAAGATAAACCGCTTAATACATATTTCTTTCAAGAACACCCACTGAAGCAAGACTAGATTCAAATATAAATGATCTTCATTAGAGGCTGCCACATTTCTAAATTTAATTTCTAAGTTTCTAAGCCTGAATTCTGATGAAAGATAACATCTGAAATGTTAATCATTTTTTTTCTCCGGGAAAATTGAGTTGAATTGACAAGTTCACTCACCAGTACAAATAGAAATATTTAAATTAAGTACATCAATGGGAGATAAGGTCAACTAAAAAAAATCCCCAAAATAATCAGTGATGTGGCATCAATACAATTTCAATTTCAGGGTGGAAGGACATAATGGCCAATTCTCGCACTTAATATTGGCCAAGCTGTCCGAGCAATTTTCATGCACTTCATTACAAATGCTTTTATAATAGCACTTCACTGTAATGAATAAAAAAAATTAATTGTCAATGCAGTAGAATTTAAATTGCATGTTTATTAGACATAAGAAATACATGATCCCAAACAAATAATTAAAATCATTCGGGCAGAAACAAATTCCCAACCACAGACAGTCCCGAGTTATCTAAACCCTTGAAGTTCTTTTTAACGTGATTTCAATTCCACCCACCTCCCAAAGTTACAGACATTTGTCAACGAATGAGTTTTTTCTGATGGAATTTAGAGCATTCTGATCAGACTTTTGTTGATTGCATAGGAAAAACCCTACATAAAAAAGAAAGCTGCAAGCAAATAAAATGGTTAATAACAATCTCACCAATTGCTTCTTCAAAGGCAAAAAGTACTGTATTGCCCTTATCTATAAGTTCTTTAGCTTTGTTTCCCATCCATTTAAAGCCCGTTAAGGTTTCCTAAAAAGAAAGAAAACATCAGAATCTACCTCTCTTAAAATCACACCAATACCAGTGGTAAATTAAAACTGTTTCTCTCATTACATGATATAATTGTCCTGTGTGTTTTGGGGCAAGAGAGGAGGTGGGGGAAGAATGTTTTTCAGCATTCTTTTATTCATCTCAACCTTTTAGTATGGAACTGGCCCAAACCACAAACATTTCTGTGAATTTAATCATTTACATGCAGAATGTCTGATGGCTGAATGGGCACAGCAACCTTCCCTTCAGTGATGCACCAAGAGCAATTAAAATGGTTCTCATACAAAAAAAAGATTCAACTATCAAAGCTAAGATTTAAATACAGAAATGCAGCATCAACACTGCAGCAACTATATGTCACAACTGATTTCAATTTTCATAAATCTAACAGAAAACATCAAATGGGAAAAGAAGAAGAACAGCTAATTGCCTATATATGAACAGAGACCAACCGAGGGGATTTTACAGTAGAAGTAGCAGTGCAGTTCATCACAGATTATGAAACGGAAAATCTCAAAGACAATTAGGGATGGGTAATAAATGCAGGCACAGGCAGTGATGCCTACAAATTAAGAACTTTTTTCTTTAAAGGGGGTTGCAAGATTATAAAAATATGGCCAATAGCAGAAGTTATTGAGGTTCAAACAGGTTTATGTAGAAGTCCTTCCTTTGGAAAATTGCAGACATGTTTGCAGCTGTCAACAAGTATAGCTCTTCAATAATAAAAAAAAGGTCATACTAAATAGCTTTGGAATTTAAAACTAAATTCCATAATTAGGTGAGTTCAGAGAAAATTTGGTAAACAATGCAGGAGATCATGTGAAAGACTGCCATTGTGTGCAATATAGTGATTGAATGACAATTTGAAGCAAATGATACTGAGCACCTTAATGGCCAACTTTAGCTTTTCTGCCTGGATGAATTCTCCAAGTTCTAACCCTGATTATTGAATGAAGAGGAAGATGGAAACCATTAGCAATTGTGTTGTTCTTTAGATACACTCCACCAATAAGTTACCATAATTTCAGAAACTGGGTTTGAAAAGCATATTCCTCCTTCAAAACAATATTACATAGACAACGAATCACCACCACCATGAAACCACCAGTGGGAAAGCTGGAATTTGCCCAAGTACACAATTACCTGCTATATGTTTACATCACCAAATTGGATATTGTACCCCCAAGTGAACAATATTCTTCCTTCTTTAGAGCAGAAATGTCACAAACAACTTCCATAACCGAACAAAAAAAACTACGTTCATCTATTTGCAGTTGAGCCACACGAACTGTAAAGTTAGCAGATATCAGGAGGTAACCCAATCTGCTGAAGCCATCCTGTTTCACAGTGCAAGAACAGCAACTACAACTCTGGGTAACCAATCTCCTTCATGGAACGCAGCACGACTTACATGACTGTGAGCCTCAGCAGGCCTTAAGCTCAACATCATTTTGGTTGATGAAAACCAGAAAACCTCAAGTGAAGACAAATATTCAATCACAATTCTGTGAAGATCACTTAGCTGTTCTGAATGGTCCTCTTTTCTATACAAACCTCTTTTGATTCCTCTGTTAGGTTGCCTCCTTTCTCTCCTGTCTAATTTCCTTTTAAAGGGAGTCTAAATTCATGTTTATAGTGGAAAATCTGCCCAGTGGAATATTTTTGCAATCACTTTAATGTTTGCCTTATTACTATTGCAATGGCCTAGAGGAAGATCATTAATTTTCAAAAAGAAATTTGAACTTCCAGTTATTCACTGAAAGAGACATGCCACAAGATTGACCTTCAAAGAACCTCTTACAGCACAAGATTAAAAAAGCAGTTACTACTAACTTAATATTTCCGTAAGCCCTTAACCTTAAAGCCTGAAAACTCAACAAGGGATCAAGATACTACATTTTATTTATATTTCCATCCAAGAGTTCCTCTGTACTTTCTAGGGTCTGAATGGTCCTGTCACTTCTCTTTGAACAAAAGCACTATGCCATAGCCCTCAGGAATTCATCTGAACTTGTCCTAATGTTTCAGTGTTATCTGAAGCACAGAGTTTCCTGGGCTCCTACACCAGCAGTCTGCCAGGTGGTAACAGTGGATACTCAGCTCAAGCATGGGCTTCACTGCCTTCTTCTAAGTAGTCTACTATTATAAAGGGCAGCTTTCTCGCCCTCACTTCTACCTTGTTGCAGCTCCAGATGTAAGCTGACAATTTCAAAGCTGCTTCAAAGTGAACTCTCTCTGAAAAGACAGACAGTTTGAAAACAAAGGACCACCTCCCTGCAATCTATCCCCTTGGCAACATGGCACACTTGCCATGTCCCTCCCAGAAAGAGTCTTAAATTGACCAATTTAAATCCCCAAACTTGTCCTTTGATCATTTAAATAGACTAGCAGCATGCCCTATGATTATTGAACTGGTGGACAAAGGCTGTCCAATATCTAAGTAAATAAATATTCACAAATTTTTACATGTAATATATTTAAAGATTAAATTTTGTTGAACAATTACAACACCTCGTTTAGTTATAGAAGTGCTAAAAGGCAAAAGTCTAGCATTTGGCTTGGGTAGTAACTGGTATCGTTCCAAGACCTCCATGTTTTACCCCTATTCACAAGGAGAGAATACAATATTTGAAAGTATATTAACATAAAACTACATAGCCAGATGACAAACATAGTAAAGGGAATCTGCACTCAACAGTATTTGGATACAGTAGGCAGAATAGATTAATAGGAGCAAGATGTAAATGATAAAACTTCAACTGTATCCAGAAGGACAACATCTACAGACCTTTTCCTTCAAATCCAGGGTCAGAACTTCATGGGGCCCACCGACAGGCTTGCTGGCAGGACAGCGAGTAAATTTCACTTACCTGACCTGTCAGAAGTTTTATGGGGATTGGGCTATGCCGAGAGTGGCTCCCCATCCTTGTACCAGGAGGACGCCAGGGCTTTTAACTGAAGTGTGTGGGTGGAGTGGGGAAGAGAGAGACTATAGCAAAATGGCCCAGCAGGTTAGCCTGCTTGGCCATTGGTTGGGAAGGGCGTCCCCACTACTGGCCTCCCTATCCAAATAACCAACCACACCATCAGATATTCTCCTCCCGCCCTATCCCGTACCCCTGGGAACACAAGTGCCACCCATTTTAACTTAAATCACCCTCCTTTCTTGTCCTGATAACAAAATGCCCAGAAATACCTCTGTCTATGCTCCAGCTCTTAGAATCTGTGTATTGTCTGTAGAATCAGCGCTGGTCACCATTCTCTATAGTGCTGCTGGGGCTACAGAGCTGCCAGTTAATCAGACTGGGTGGCATACCCCTCACTCTGGAGGGAATTAAGTCCCAACTCATCAGTTAGGTCCCCATGGAACATTAAATGGCTGAGGGATGGGCGACACTGACAGAAATACATTCTTTGGTGACTATTTTGGTGGTGAGGCAGGAAACCCCAACATTCAAATGTTCTACACCAGGAGTTAGGTCTCATGTGGCCTGTGAGCCAAATGGCAGAAAGGCCTTTCGCTTTCATGTTTATATGCATTTTTATAAGGAAGAATATTTAATAAATTCAAAATTGATATAACCGAATTAGTAGCAATGATAATTCAAATTATTAAAAAGAATTTCACACAATGCAATTATAAATAACTAATTGACAAGTCATAATGAGAAGTATACCTCAAAATGAAATCCTTCCTTTAGTGCAATTGCCTGGAGGATTTTTGAAGAGACTGTGCTGGACAGCATATAGATTTTCTTCAAAGAACTGGATTCCTTATTTTGCTTCTTCCAACAAGTAAAAATCCACCAACCCAACAAGGCACCTAACTCATTCCCGGAAAATACTTTCCAATCTCCTCTGAGAGTAAAGAGAATTTGAGAATTTAACATTTTATTTAATACTAAAAGCATAATGAAATCAATTATGGTTTTGCGTAAATAGAAGCTTAAAGCATTTCCATGAGAAGTATCTTTAAGTGCAACAGTATTGTCATATACCCTAATAAGAGTGTGATGAAACCTATATGAACAAACACAACTCTAAAATAGACACATCAAGAAAAAGCTCATAAGACATCCCCATAAAAGGTGTGTGGTAAAATATATCAGACACACGCAGGAAAAAATGGACAGTCAAATTAATAACTATAGACAGAGCCTCCAACTATAGACAGAGCTGTGGTGGTAGTTTACAAGGATAGATGTTTTACAGGCTAGTATTTAGAGGACAGGGGTTCGTAACAGTTCTGGAAACGACAGGTGCCGTTCTGAGAAAACAGAACAACGTACAATGCCAGCCAGCATGAAGGTCTGGAAAACAAGCTGTGTGGTTAGCAATTTACAGCTCTTTAATAAAATTAAAATAAGACTCCATCTGTTGCAAAGCTTCTAGATCCAGACCTTCCACACTGTATGGATCACCTGATCTCTCCCTTTCTGCTGTTTCTTTTTGCATCTAAATGCTCAAGAGGCCAGTGTATACTGGTCAACACAAAGCAGCAACAAGTTTGGTATGAGACAACAACATCTATGGAGTGCTCTTTACTGGGCTTGCATGAATGCTTGCACAGCTCTGCCTCAGGACTACTACAGTTTTACAGACATTAGAGAGGCTAGGCAATTAATTGTCCATCACTACACTTACAATAACCATTTTAATTTTAAAGACCTCTCCAAAGTTTGACTGATGCCCTTCAGGGTCTGTAATTTACAGGTGTCAAGATACTTTTAAGTAGTTACAGACATCTTTTGTTTTTCCTTAAAACGCATTCCTTGAATGCAAATACAATGGTACTACAGATAAAAACATCCTGGAAGGCACAGTGCACAAGGGTATGCGCATAATGAATTCCACAGATTGTCAAAGATTCTTAGTGACTGATCTGGCCCTCTGTGTTCCAAATGCAGCCTTCTGCTTGGTCCCCGATATAGTATGCATTTACCTGGTTCAAATATCTTGTGGATTCTTCCTTAGAGGGTTAGCTTTGTTCCAAACTTACAAATGGATAGGCCATCTGAAGTCAACTCTGAGATCTTATCGCCTCTTCTCTCCCCACTCCCTATATGAAAACAGTCACTCCTTGGCCATTTATCAACTGACCAAAGGTGAGTTTGCAATATTGATCAGCATATGTTATACCTCTCCTTTTTTTGAATATCGTATTGAGGCGGAGGAAAGCTCTCCAATTGATGTCTAGGAGTTTAAACTCATGAACAAGAATACACTGCGGATATTTTAAATGGCACAATATATTTTGCTGCATTGAATGTCTAGCAATGCAGCAAAATATATTGTGCCACATAACTGAATTTGTAGCAATGAAAATTCATATTATTAAAAAAAAGAGTTCCACACAAAGCAATTAAAAAAATCTAATTGACAAGTCATAACGAGACTTGATAGAGACATACAAGATGATCAGAGGATTAGATAGGGTGGACAGTGGGAGCCTTTTTCCTCGGATGGTGATGGCTAGCACGAGGGGACATAGCTTTAAATTGAGGGGTGATAGATATAGGACAGATGTCAGAGGTAGGTTCTTTACTCAGAGAGTAGTAAGGGCGTGGAATGCCCTGCCTGCAAAAGTAGTAGACTCGCCCACTTTAAGGGCATTTAAATGGTCATTGGATAAACATATGGATGATAATGGAATAGTTTAGGTTAGATGGGCTTCAGATTGGTTTTCACAGGTCGGCGCAACATCGAGGGCCGAAGGGCCTGTACTGCACTGTAATGTTCTATGTTCTATGTTCTATACCTCGAGCACTGCATGCTCCGTAACCTTTTCACCCCTCACATTATCAACAAATAAATTCACGTAGAAGCCACATGAATAGGATAGACAACATGTCATAATTTCAACAAAATCAATTAACTCAGACTGAACATTCTGAAACTCTGAAATTCTCTGAAACCCTTAGAAATTTTAGACCATAGGAAAAGTAGTAGCATCTTACAAATTTATTAATTCATGCGATGCTGGCGTCGCTGGCTATGCCAGCATTTATTGCCCATCCCTAATTGCCTAGACGCAGTTAAGAGTCAATCACATTGTTGTGGGTCCAGAGTCTCACGTAGGCCAGACCAGGTAAGGATAGCGGTTCCCTTCCCTTAAAGGCCTTAGTGAATTAGATTGTTTCCTCTGACAATTAACAACAGTTTCATGGTTATCATTAGAAACTGAATTCCATATTTGTAACTGAATTCGAATTCCACTATCTGCCATGACAGGATTCAAAAACCTAGGTCCCCAGAACATTACTCAGATCTCTGGTTTATTAATCTAGCAATAATACTACTAGGTTATCGTTTCCCTTTAAAATTCAATAAAGGATTGATGTACTTATCATCTACCTCTCTTGTTTCTCAGATACAGCAAGCCGATCAGCATCTGGGTCATTTGCTAAAATGACTGTGGCTCCTTCCTTATCAGCCAGGGCAAAAGATAAAGTCTGGAAAAAATGAGAAATTTTACTTAGGTAATATGGGAAGTGTAGATAAACAAAAAAATAGCCTCCAGCTCAATTGGCCTGCTTCCTCTAAGTAATGTGGATAATAGATCAGCCACAGAAAACCCTAATTAAGTCAAATTGAAGTATTAGGAAAGAAATGATTTGATTGAACTTTAAGAACTGTTACAGTCGAAAGAGATAAAAACGTTCCTGGTATTTTGGAAGTCCAGGACACAGGAACATAATCTAAACATTATAGTCAGATTGTTCACTCAGAATTGTCCCACTCAGCTGCACAATACAGGGAAGGTGTAAATGGTTCAGAGATATCAAGACGGGCGTGGAGACTTGGTCACAGTCACTGAGAATGTTATTTGCAACAATGACGGTTTAAGGGTTAAAACTTGAAAGTAAATCAAACAATGAGTTGGGAAAAGATAGGCAGATTTGGAATGATCAAATACTTCAAGGTGAGGGAAAGTTATTTGAGCTGTGGTGGTAGTTTAAAAAGATAGATGTTTTATAGGCTAGTATTTAGAGGAGAGGGGTCCATAACAGTTCTGGAAGCAACAGGTGCCATTCCTGAGAAAACAGAACAACGTACAATGCCAGCCAGCATTAAGGTCTGGAAAACAAGCTGTGTGGTTAGCAATTTAGAAGTTATGGGGACATGGAGCATAAAGGAACTTTGAGAAAATTTCAGCATTGTTAGGGGTGATGGTAGTCGGGGTGGGGAGTCAAGGGGTGGAGGAGAGATAATAAACCGTCTCCATCTTTGGTGATAGAGAAGTCTATTAGCTCCTCACAAATCTGAGGAGAGGAAGAGTAAAGAGCAAGGGCTTTACGGAGACAGTTGCGAGTGGAGAAAGGAAATTACAGCTTATAGTTGCATTCCAGGATGATCCTACATTAGGAAATGGTTTTGGGAGACAACAAGGTCCAATAATGCTTTAAAAATGTCCAGCCACATTTGGCGATGGATGCCTAAATTTGTGTGGTACCCAAGGGTTTAAGTTGGCACAGTTTGGAGAAAAGATGACCATGTCAGGTAAAACAACCAGATTGGGAGATTCTAGTCAGGGGCAGGGTATTAAAGGTGCAGCGCATCTGGTGGGC